ATTTTTTGGAATACTTCCAAGGTCTATTCTTCTGGCACGTATGTATTTTTCCTTGTGGACCCGTCCTCGTTGCTGTGACAGCAGTCTCGGAAATTCGCTCGATGTCGAGCTAAGGACTTAGGCAAACATATCTGGATGTCATTTAGTAATGGACCTAATATCCTTCCAGCACCGCCCACACCATGTCATATCTGACCAGACTAAGGACATCGCTCTGGATCAGTTACCCTCTTACATCAGGCTGCACATCTGCAAATGAACCGTAACAGGCCGAGAACGACGACGTGATTGTAAGAGAGGCGAAGGCAAAACAAAGTTACAAAACACGGTGTGAAATTGACTTCTGATGCAATTAGACAATAATTATTTACTTCACTGTGCAGCCATTACCGAATTTGACAATTCAAAACCAATGAAGGTCAAGATCATCTTTTGCTATAGTTTTTGTCTAAGCTAACTCGAATTTCATTAGCTCTGGTGTATTTCGGCATCCCAGTGCAGTTAACAGCAGTGCTTAGACTGAGCGTCTGGCAACCCAGAGACAGGAGCACGATAATCAGCAGTATCCTTCCCCCCGGGGTGAGAGGCAGGTGACGCCATATTGTAGCCTGCGCAGAAGTTGAGTGCGTCGTAGATCTCCATCGAAAGCAACAAACCACGAACCGGCACACAACAGATGGCAACCCTTCATTGAATGGAATCATTAAATTACAAACAAACGCACCATAAAAGCGCAGCACGATGTGCAAACAACTTACACACCTTGAGTGAAACAGAAACCTACCCCGTGTCGACATGACCAATAACGATGTCCAGCCCAGTCCAGTCCAGTCCAGTCCAGTCCAGTCCAGTCCAGTCCAGTCCAGTCCAGTCCAGTCCAGTCCAGTCCAGTCCAGTCCAGACCAGTCCAGTCCAGTCCAGTCCAGTTCAGTTCAGTTCAGTTCAGTTCAGTTCAGTTCAGTTCAGTTCAGTTCAGTTCAGTCCAGTCCAGTCTAGACCCGAACAAAATACAATAGACTAGACTCCAGCAGCACCAAAATTATAAGCAGATATACAATGATAGATTATAGACCAAGCTGCCGGCATGGCATAGGTCCAGACGATAGCAAACCAGGCAAGAATGGAAAAGACCAGTCTCCTAAGAAATTCAGATTCGATGGTCTTGCGCTTCCTTCCCTGACATGCAATGTCTTTCTCTCCTCTGACCGGCCCGGTCCGGTCCGGTCCGCACTCAGACGGGACCGAGTCGTCCAGTATGAGTTCGGACCGGATCGTCCGGACCGCACTGGACCGGACCGGAAGCCGTTGCAGTACGCAGCGTATCCTGCTCGTGGCGGGGTGGCGTCAAATGCGGGGTTATGTTGGCCCGGGCAATTGTAGGTTTTGGCTGTCCTCCCCCTCCATTAAGGTCCTCTGTCAGATTACTCGCCAGCGCCCTGCTCCTGTCGGACACCAGTTCAGATGGTCAACCCTAGCTGTGATGAAGACGCAACATACTCCGCGTAGATAGTCTAACATTCCAGCCTCCATCATTGCATGTCCTGCACAAAACGTTAAAATGACGAACACATACGCAAGTCATTGTCATGGTGGTGTTTTTTTCTTCTCTGCCACTGAGCCTCTACAGTGAACGTAGTATCTTTACCAGCAAGTTGTTATAATGAGAGGCAAACCGCAAGTACAATCGTACACGCACACTCACAAAGCGCACAATCGTCTAGATAATGGAAACGGCTTAGGCGGATGGCGGTGAGGGGATGCACGTAAAGCATTAAAAAAACTAGGTCATGTGATGCCCATCCACATTAACCGAACCCACATTCCTAGCCCATGGAGTTTTTGGGAGGAGTTTCAGTAACTTTGTCTCGATTGAAACCAAAAAACGATCCCTAAATTCTCAGGATCTGTGGCGTCGGGCTGGCACATCACATGCTGCTACCAGCCTCCATTTGGTAGAGGGTAAAGGTACTGACATATTGAAGGATTTCTGAAGTGCGACGAACATAATTATTCAAATCCGGGATGGTTTAAGAGGTGAAACATTGCCGAGTCTGAAAAATTTTGGTTGCGTTTGCCGAGATAGGTAAATACTTCAGAGCCATTTGCTTACCATTCAAGATCATGGAATATCCCTTTATGTTCTCGGAGGGGTTAATTTCGGGATCCCCAAAGAACTCACAAATTCTTCGAAACTTCTTCAAAGCAAAGAAGGTCCCTCTGGACAGTAAAGCACAGTGGCAGGCGAACAGGGCGAGAAAGGTCTAGAAGCGTTTTCATTTCTTTCATTTGTGTGTCGAGGCAAACCCGGGAAAGCGGCAGCCGGACTCTTGGGAGAGTTCGTGTTGATTCCAGCGAAATTGAAACGATAGTGAAGCGTTCAGATTTGCGCCGCGATTCTGTGCAGCCACAAATATACCAAAGCATTAAGTGCAAAAACTATAAATGATGTGTGATAGATATCTACATCAACATTGCATTCGATTTACGTGCTACAACAATGAATTTTGTCTCAGAACTGTGGCCATCTAAGTCAAGTAATGCTTGCCAATAACCCAGTGAGTCGTTGTGTTGGGCTTAAATTCCCGTCAGCCGTTATAACCAGCTGCAACGGCTTTATTTTCTCAAACGAATTTCTTTTCATTGTTGCAGATGGCCATTTCCACCGCTGACACGGCACTGAATAGCCTGAATTGCAGTGGTGGATAAATTATGGAAATTTCGCCAAGCAAACAAAATTTAATAAGAAGGAATCTGTTGCCGCTTTGCGGCGAGAAACGCAACTCATAAAAACGCTTCCGGCGAAACCATCCTTGAAATGAGGTTTATATTTCCAAACTGGTGGAAATGCATCTTCTAATCGATGTTCGCTCACTTTATATTTTATTCGATAATATCACTTATGTGGCGCTACAGCTGAATGCAGTTCTGATAACGTATACAGCTTACGGCACAACCCAAACCAAACAGCAGAGTTAGACGAACAGCAAAGTGTACAGACAGTCAAGAGTCGAAAATATATTTGCGCATCGCAATGGTGGACACCTGGCCTCAAACTATAGTCTCTTGTTCCAGGTTCAAGCAATTCAATTCGAGGGAAAGTCGTGTCAAACGAAGAAGATTATATCTAAATCTAAACATGACTATGTATATGTCCGACCATCCGCTGTGCGGCATATTCTGAGTGAATTTTATGGACAGGGACACAGCAATTTCAAAGAACTGGGTGGGGGGGGGAGGCGGAGAGGTCAAACAACGAACACCCCCCTCCGTTAGCTCGTAAGCTTTCGGCCACTTCGCTTTCAAATCTGGTGAAAATGGCGATTTTTTTATTACAATATTCATCAACGACGTTTACACGTGCTCTGGTACGGGAGTCAAATATGAACCAAATCTCGGGATCTGTCTCCCTTTATGGGTAGCGCATTCATATTAATTGTATCATGCTGCTTTCATATGTAAATGACGGTCGCATCTGGCCATCAGTGTATGACGATGATAATGGAAGCAAGCATTATCAACGTGTAGGAACCTCAAGATAGTCGAAAGCATGCCACTCGCTTTCACGATCACAATACCTAACGCAAAATATAGTGGACGCCAAAAATGTTGGTAGGCTTTAAGCTACTGCGTTAATTACATCTTGTAGTCGATCGCGAACGGACGGTTATGAAATTGTTGGTTGTTTATTTGCCACACCTCTAAGTAACATCCGCAGTAACCCCGCGTTCTTACTGCAGTGAACTCGCGTGATTAACCCTTCAAGCACTCGGGTTCTCTTTCAATGCACTGCTGGCTGCTGAAGTAGTCTGCTTTAATTTGATTAAGATGGATCATTGAAATATCACGAGAAGATTGATGTGCCATTGCATTGCCTTTCACCCTTCGGTCCACTGACTGACTGGTCCGCGACTGAGCAGCAATGGCACGGGAAGGGGCGGCATAGGGAGCACGTGCCCCCCCCCCCTCAGGCTCCGGAGCCCGATTTGCCGCCCAAAGGGCCCGAACGCCCCCCCCCCCCCGGAGGTCGTACTCAGCATGAGACCTAGAATGGGCCTGAGGGCCCGCTTCCCAAGCAGGGACAGAGCCGGTGTCAGCGATTTGCGATGGTAAGCAAAGTAAGGTAAGTAAAGGTAAGTTGGGACTCTGCGCGGCCTATGGAAACTGCAACAACTGGCGTCTAGATTCTTGTTGCTAAGAATTGCGAGCGTGCATGCTCAAAACTACGCTACATAACTTGCATCACAACAATTCTGACTAATTGTCAAACATTTCCAGTCAAACCTGGCTTAGCTGTTACCACAAATTAACCAATTTCGATCTACCATCCACAATGACGAGGTCCTCTCTGTAAAACCCAGATCAAAATTCTGACAAGGCCTCTGAGTTCAGTCGATTTAGAAAGATTTCACTGGACTACAGTCAAATGAATGCTACCGGCGATTTTGTTATGCTGTCGATTATAAAATTCAGTCATAATTGATATTGCGGTAATTTCTGGTTACTGCCTTCTGGCCATTTATAGAACATAGAAGTGAAACACTGGCAAAGAAAAACATGCCCTGATAAAGATGGTCATTTATAGAGCATCGAAATGAAACACTGGCAAATAAAAACGTGTCCTGATAAAGAACTAAGTCATACCCGACAATTTTGTCAGAGGAAGCCGTTTTCACTATCATGGGTCCTTTGTCAACCCTGTGCGCCCACTCCCTTACCTGGGCTCTGGCTGCACCGCCGGAAGGATCGAAAGTTCGCAGATAGATCTACTTCGTGAAGTATTGTCTCTATATTAACTCTGGTGTGATCGCGTGGGTACACTGACAGCTGAGGCTATTTCGCGTCGGTGGGCGGATGAAGTGACTCATGACACAACTGGCGCACACACTTGTCTGCCCCAACCCAGATCCGGCGCTCATGCTGTGCGGTTCGTCGGGGACCTCATTGGACCGGTCCTAAAGGCCAGCTGCGAGGAAACACATCACGCTGTCTACTCACCAGGTACATAAGTCGTCCCTGCAAACATCCGAACTACTCTCCTCTTCTGAGCTAGCACGCGTTCGCACCTCACGACAAGATGCTTCCGGTGGCGCTGGCTATCCTTCTGGCGACGGCCGCGGCGGCCAACTACTGCTCGCTGTCCTCGTGCCCGGCCAACTCGCACACCATGTGTAAGTACCCGGACAGCGGCGCCGCCGGCGCCTGCGGCACGGTGCACGAGCGCGGCACGAGCGCCGCGGACCGGGCGGAAATCCTCAGCGCGCACAACGCGATCCGCCAGGCGGTGCGCAGCGGCCAGTACGCCTCGGAGAACCTGCCGGCCGCTGCCGCCATGCCCGATCTTGTCTGGGACAACGAGCTGGCCACAGTGGCGCAGCGTTGGGCTGACCAGTGCGCCTCCGGCCACGATCAGTGTCGCAGCGTGGCTCGCTTTTACGTGGGCCAGAACCTCGCCTGGAGCTGGGGCGGCGCCAAGGACTGGACGAACAGGGCGATCGGTCAGTGGTTCCATGGAGAGCTGCCGAACTTCCAGCAGAGCGGCCTGAAGTTCACCTCCGGCAGGGACCCGGTGTCGGGCGGCGTCATCGGCCACCTGACTCAGGTCATCTGGGCGGGCACCACTAAGGTGGGCTGCGGCTACATCGCCGTGCAGGACGACACCTGGGTGAAGCGCACTTTTGCCTGCAACTATGGACCCGGCGGCAACATCAGGAATTGGAACATCTACCAGGCCGCCTAGAAACCGCTCGAAGCGTAGACTGCAGGCCCTGCAAGTCACCAGACTGAAGGCCTCATTACCGACAGCTCATTACGATTCACATCGAAGTGTCAACTTTTGCGATGTTTTGCAAACTGGGCAGGCCTCGCTATGTTATCGGCGATTGGGTGTGTTCTCTCTCGTGCCGTGAATCGTGGGCACGAACTATATCTAAATGATCGCATGAAAGCTCTCTGTTTGATTTGAACCTTATTGTCGTAACCCAGATCCATGAGGATCGCTTCTTCCGGGGAAATTTGTGTCTATGTTACCCAGCAAATGTGTGTGTATGTCCATGTTCTTCAGCAAATGTGCAAATACATGTGGCAGCACATCGATCTGCTGGCATTTACGACCTGGCACACGTGACCGCGCCACGCATCCGCATAATGTCACGTGATTCGCGCCATGCCTCTGAATACGCTGAAGCGATACCAGGCTGATGGCGGGACTACCATCTAGGGCTCAGCACATGTAGCAAAAAATCCAGTATATAAGCGAACCCATCTGTAAGCACAATGCAAGCCGTCCTTTCATTTGTGTTTGCCCCACTTAAATATCACAAAAAGATAAACGTCAGAAGTAGGTGGTCGTGGTTATGGGGCGCACAGCCACGCACGGGGAGCCAGCCGTTCACGGTGCCTGACCGGTCCTACCATCCCACCAATCCACGGGCCACCCATTTCATTCCAGATAAGCGTCCCACATGTATGTGTTGATGTCAGGTGTATCGAATTCCACACCTTCGGGGTCGGTGCAATCGCGATCGCAGTCATCACGAAGAGCACCCTAGCATTTGAGGGCCTCTCCTGCCGGGCCGGGGCCCATAATACGACCTGCCACCAGCCCTTCGGATCCTTGATCGTCGGTCCCCAAGGGTTCCTCGGGACCTAAGGGGAGGGGAAACATGTATCCCTGGGACTCCTTGCAGTACTGTCCACGACATACAACTTGATGCTTGTGCCCTAGCCAACCGACATCCGCAATGCATTTCCCTGTGAAGGTGATACTATGCATTATTACTAAGACGTCATTGTACCCAGGAAGACAACAATTTCAAAGACACGTCAAGTCGTAACAATTGTGACATTCATCAGCTCCTGGTTTTTCGGTAACACAAAATTTGTGTGCAAAATCTCTCAAAGGTTGTTTGGAATACAGATTTCCCATGTTAATCCCCAACTGCGGTCAAACTTAAGGTGAAAGCGCCTGGTGCAAATGGTCCTCGTTGTTCAGCATCCTAATGATCTAATTTGTATTCAACCATCGTCTCCCATCATGCTGCTAAGATAAAAATCCAGCAGACAACACTTAAGAGATAGCCGCCACACCGTCCCCCCCCCCCCCCCCCCGAAGCCGGCAGAACTCCACATAGGAGACTGACAGAAAATGCCAGTAAAACTGGTGGCCGTTGCATTAGTTCATTGTATTTGCTACGCTTTGCCCTCATGTGGGAACTGGGATTAGAAAGATAACGCACTTACGATCAGTTTTTCAAACGCATTTCCTTGCAACATGAATGATTTTTTTAGTGTCGGCATCATTCTCGCAATGCAAAACTTCCAGTTTACTCTTCGCACTCTTCCAATTGATCCGCCATCTTCAGATTCTGAACGAGACGTGAAACCTATCGCATTTCGACGGTTGCAGTGGTCACAGTCTGTGGTGAGGGGTGACGCATTTCAAGACCTGATGTGATGTGACGCCATGTCAAGACTAAATTCGACGCATAACGGATCTTGAATGAGGGTTTCGTAGTCTTATGAAGATTCTGTCTGACCCTTAACCAGCGTCGAAAGCCTGGAGAAATCCTGGGAATGCGGATATTGTACACTATTAACCAAGATTGGAGGTCAGATGACCCCATCGCTCCCAGTCGTTGCGCGCCAGATGAATAGACATTCGAAGCAATTTGAAGCAAATGCCAGCCAGAGCTTTTGTGAACCCGAGAACTACTACTCAGTTGTGCCAGTTCTAGTCCAACACTTGTACCTTTATCCAAACGGGACTGTACATGCATAATTTGCATGCTGTGCATTCCATGACACCAGGTCAGGCCAGGTCAACCACGGCCTGTACGACCAACCAGATGTCAGGTTTACCGTCCCTGGTAAGATGAGGAGCTTAGATGGCTGGATGGTCAGGTGGCATTTCCTTTGCAGATTTGACAAGGTAACAGCACCTCCGAAGACTGGCACCCGATGTCTGAGGGTTACAAGGCCACCATTTCCCCACCTCCCCAGCGGGCACGAAAACCCGTTGTTGTTTTGCTCAATCTATTCATCCCTTTTGTCCCTTCCTTGTCTCGAAGTGAGGACGCAAAGGTCCAAACCACCTAAACTTTGTGCAGCAGCAGCCTCTTGTGCCAAATCAGAACCTTCTCACACACCATCGTTCACCCCGATCTTCAGCTGTAAAAACACATCCATTGGCATCCTCTCCAGCCGTCCACTGCTCTAAGAGCGCCATCAAGCTTACAGTGGTGTCGCTCGCCTCCGAGTCGTCCGACCGGCTGAGCCTTTCATCTACACATTGTTTTTGTTCGCACCGACGGCGACTTTGAGCTGCGACCGGCCCAGCCTGTCCCAGTTCAGCGTCGCCGCTGTCGCGGACAGACTGCTGGGGAGGGACGGGCCATTCCGAACACTTGGGAGGAGGCGGGTGGTGGAGGCTGGGGGGAATGGACAGGAGCGACTGGGGCCGGGCTAGGGGCGATGGCGAGGAAGGGGAGGGGCTAGGAACAGGAGCGGTTTGGACCGGAGGGGGGTGATTGGTTGGAAGGGGCAGGGCCGGGGTAACGGACAGCAGCGACTGGGACCGGGCGATGGGGTGGAAAGGGCGAGGCTAGGAACAGGAGCGACTGGGACCGGGCTGGGGTGATTGGGTTGAAGGGGCAGTGCTGGAGTGAAGGACAGGGGCGACTTGGGTCGGGCTGGGTGTGACGGCGTTGGAGGGGGTGGCGCTGGACTGACGGCCAGTAGATCCTTGGGCTAGGCTGGGGGTAACGGTGGTGGAGGGGGTGGTGCTGGGCTGACGGCCAGTGGAGCCTTGGACCAGGCGGGGGGTAACGGTGGTGGAGGGGTTGGCGCTGGGCTGACGGCTTGTAGAGCCTTGGGCCAGGCGGGGGGTGACGGTGGTGGAGGGGGTGGCGCTGGGCTGACGGCTTGTAGAGCCTTGGACCAGGCGGGGGGTAACGGTGGTGGAGGGGGTGGCGCTGGGCTGACGGACGGGAGACACTTGGGCCACCTGAGGGTGACGGGTCCACGGTTCGCTCAACTGCCCCATCGCAGTCGGACAACTAGCCCGGACGTCGTTCGATTGGCAGAGGTGAACAGGGGCGGACAATGCCAGAAGTCTGCTGACGACGCGTCTGGAGTACGGGCTGGCCTCGGCCGGCCCGTCAGTCCACAGGTGAAGCGGTCGCCGAGCTTGGCGCTCGGCCAGGAACGGATGACGAGTGTCGTGCGCACCGTTTCCCGACCTTGCTGACATCAATACTGTCAAGCGGCAGCTCCTGATCTTAATTCTAGCCACAGCGGTGTTTGAACCAGCTGCAAATGGGTCCCACCGTTGGCGGACTGATTTGGGCTGAATCAGATTGTTTTGGGGTGAACCACTTTAGCCTCCACGACGCCTGCCCAGTAGGGGCTTTCTTGCTACCCTTGGCTCGACATTCCACCTCATCGCCAGACAGGGGGCTTAGGGGGAACAGGAGGGACCGAGCTCCTGCACCAACGCTCTGAGAATTTAGTCTTAGACCACTGGACGTTGACTGGAAGAAAATAACCAAACAATGCTTCGCGTCCAAATTGGTAGGATTTGCTTTGCCCCTGACGGAAGAGCTTTGCGGCGACAAATGCCGTTCGTTCTTGTTTGTAAGGGCATTATTGTACGCAGAACCACTTATCATTCAAAATCACTGTATCATCAAACCTCTCAGGCTGCTAAGGGAACAACCAGCCGAGGCTGACCTTGTCAGGCATGTGCTTGGCAGGCGTGGGCACAACAACGTGGGGCGAAAAAGGTACCAGCCCAACTTTCTGCAAATCAGTCACCACGCGCAATCATCAGCTGTAGTGAAATCCTTTTAGTAATTGCTACACCGAGTTCAATCCATCAAAAGGTGGCCAAGCCTGGTGAATGTATCTTTCTCATACAGCTTAATGGAAAATGGATAGTGGTTTGGGTAACATGTAGTAATTGCTAAATTATTCACCCTTACACGAAACGCTGTGTGTGTGCTGACGTCTCCGCACCTCAGTGGTCTGGTGACGTCACTGCTGGAGCGTGTCCAATGAGATCTTCTCCCTGGCCATCTGTAAAGTGTGTCGGTATGCGAGAGTTTTGGTATGTGAAAAGATACACTTCGTGACTGCAAAATGTAGTGTTATCATTAGGATACCATATCAGCTCCGGCTCGTGTCGTGCTGCTAAGGATTTGTCTAACATAGCTCACTTCCAATGTTTAAGAAAGTTTGATGTGACTATTGGCGAATTAATTGTTCACCATCTCCGTCCATAATTGATCCTTGGCTGTTGAGGATGCTCGGCTGATTACCAAAAAAAGATTTCAGTGAAGATTAGAAATCGCGTCGGCCTTGATTAAAAAACCGTTGTTTTTGATCGGTAGCTGGAAAATTGGTCCACGAAGCGGCTTAAAGTAATTAGACCCTGCGATGTCACGCATTTTAAATAGTCCAGCCAAAACATTGATTGCTCGTCGGAGCCATGAATTTCTAAAAATTGGGTTTGGTTCTCTTATTGAATTTAATTCAGCTTCCACCTACTCGGATGCAAATTCGTCTTTTGAGGTTCGACAGTTATACATGTGTGCAACAAAGGCGTAAGTTACCAGCACCCTCAAAGCTAGACATAAATAAGGTCGCTTAAAAGAAATATTCCACATTTGAAGATATTGAGATAAGCATGAGATATGATGAGAAAAGCTTGTCTGTAACTATTAGTAAGTTTTCAAGGTTCAAAAACGGCCCGAAGTAGTAAACCTTTAAAGTTTGTAAAAATGCACCCTATTACGTCATTGTTTGACGGTGTCATGGAATGGTTTTGTGACGACAGCAATACCTGGCAGCATCTGGCAGCCAGACCTAAAGAATGCCTCAAAACGCGCGAAAGCTGACGCCATCCGGCCATTGTCGTCGCGGACGCTGTGTTGTGTGGCGGATTAGTGAATGACTTGTTTGTGGGTTTTTGCCTCGGTACGGATGGTAACAGAAGATTGGCTGGGCTGCTTGACATACTAACGTAGCGATCGCCAGCTTTAGGGCAGATTAATAATACCAAAGCGCGATA